CAGCTTGTATCAGCCTAACGAGCATATTTATAGGGCGAGACCACGCCCCTTCTGGCGGGACGTGACGATATGGGCGCGAATTGCCCCCATTGGTCATTACGTCACGCAGAGTCTCTCTCGATAGGCTGCTGCATTTGCTGCAGAGCAACCAATAGGCGCGCGAGCTGTTTCGCCTATGTTTGCTTGCTGCTGCAAAGCGTTTTGCATTAATAAAAAATTAAAGGATAATTTTTGGCTTCAATATCTCGCGGAAAAGAGTTTTTCCCCTAGCGTAAAGCTATTACGCAGTACTCGTTCCCTCTCTAGAGAGAACCGAGGTTACGTTAGTAACCGAGTACGTTTTAGTGAACAGTGGGATCCACCAGTAGAGTTAAGTCACTTAGCCGAAGAGCAGAGAGAGGTAGTTAGGCAAATGCTTAGAGAAGAGTGTCACTCCTTCTCCAGATCAGACAATGACATTGGCTGCATTGAACGATTGGAAATGACTATTTCTCTAAAGGACTCGGAACCAGTCAATCGCACATAGATGTCAGTGCCCAGGCCACTGTATCAGGAGATGAAAGGTTACCTTCATGACCTCATAGCTCAAGGTTGGGTTAGGAAGTCAATCTCTTCATACTCTTCACCGGTTGTGTGCGTCAGGAAAAAGGACGGGACCCTCCGGTTGTGTATAGATTACAGAGAGCTGAACCGAAAGACGCATCCCGACCGCCAGCCAATCCCTCGGGTCCGAGACATCCTAGACAGCTTAGGTGGTAATTCCTGGTTCTCCCTCTTAGATCAGGGAAAATCATATCACCAGGGGTTTATCTCTGAGGAAAGCAGACTACTGACAGCATTTGTGACCCCTGTGGGGACTCTATGAGTGGATACGCATGCCATTCGGTCTCATGAACGCTCCTGCAGCTTTTCAGGGTTGTATGGAGGAATGTCTGGAAGGGCTCCGGGATAATATCTGCATTCCTTATCTTGACGACACACTAGTTTTCAGTAAAACTTTCGACAGCCATGTGAATGATGTACGTAAAGTTTTACAGCGCCTCAGAGAGTATGGCATCAAACTCAAGCCAAGTAAGTGTGAGCTCTGTAAACCCCAGGTCCGTTATTTGGGAAGAATAGTGTCTGCGGAGGGCAGTAAAGTTGACCCAGCTGATTTTTAAGCAGTAAGAACATTGAAAGAAATCAGACCAGAGACGGCGGGCCAGCTCAGAAAAATGCTTGGTTTACTCACTTACTACAGACAGTACATCAAAGACTTTTCTAGGAAGGCCAGCTGTCTGTATGACCTCCTGAAAGCAGATTCAGAGAAAGTTTCTGACCACCCACGGAAAACAAAACCAAAGAAAGTAAGTCATGTGGTGCCCTCAAACAAGCCAATCCTGTGGACTGACCAGCACCAACAGACACTTGAACAGCTGATTGACTGTTTGCTCCACCCACCAGTCTTAGGTTTCCCTGACTTCACTCAGCCATTTGTTGTACATACTGATGCATCACACCAAGGCTTGGGAGCAGTTCTTTATCAAAAGCAAGATGGGAAGCTTAGGGTCATTGCTTATGGCTCTCGGACCTTAACAGCAGCTGAAAAGAACTATCACTACCACTCTGGCAAGCTAGAATTCCTAGCTCTAAAATGGGCAATCACTGATAAGTTCCGTGATTATTTATACTATGCTCCGACATTCACTGTGTACAGTGATAACAACCCGCTCAGCTACATTCTGTCTACTGCAAAACTGAACACAACTACTTCCAGGTGGGTCGCAGAATTGGCTGACTTCCACTTCACAATAAAGTACAGGCCAGGTAGAGAGAACAGTGATGCTGATGCTTTGTCAAGGATGCCACTGGATGTAGAGTCACTGATGAGAAAATGTTCTGAAGAGCTTCCTCCAGACACTATTGCCGCCACGATACAAGCAGTAGAGGTACAGAAAGAGTCTGTTGCAACTTGGTCACTTTTGGCTGCATCTATGTCAGTATCAGTTGAAGGTGAGACAACCGCTGCATCAATCAGCTCGATTCCAAAAGATGAGATAAGAGGAGCACAAGAATCTGATCCGGTCATCCGTCCTGTGCTCGATTTCAAACGGTCTGGTTCCAAACCGCCAGTTAAGGAGCAAAAAGAATCCAGTTCAAAGACAAAATGCCTATTCCGAGAATGAGACAAATTGACAGTAGAGAGTGATGGCATTCTGTACAGAATCACTACAGCCCGCAAGCAGTTAGTTCTACCAGAGCAGTACAAAGGTAAAGTGATGAAAGAGTTACATAATAACATGGGACACCAAGGTACTGACCGCACTGTATCACTAGTACGTGACAACACAGCCTGATGCATACTGAACTGGTATGCATAGACTTCCTCCATCTTGACAGATGCAAAGGCGGATACGAGTAAATCCTCGTTATTGTTGATCATTTTACACGTTTCATGCAAAGCCTACTCCACCACGTCAAAGTCAGGAAAAACTGCTGCAAATCTCATCTTCAATGACTTTGCCCTGAAGTTTGGGTTCCCCGTCCGCATCATTCATGACCAAGGGGGAGAGTTCGAAAATCAGTTGTTCCATCAGTTAAAGAAACTCAGTGGCATGGCAGGGTCCAGAACAACACCCTAACACCCGATGGGTAATGGTCAAGTGGAACGTATGAACAGAACTTTGTTGCAAATGTTAAAGACACTGACTGAGACACAAAAGTCAAATTGGAAAGAGTCTCTGCACAAACTAGTTTATGCATATAACTGTACCCGTTGTGAAGTGACCGGCTATTCACCATTTTTTCTTCTGTTTGGGAGATCACCCAGGCTTCCAGTTGATATGCTCTTTGGATTGTGCACAGAGGCAGGTCCCAGTAACCAGCGAGACTACGTGGAGAAATGGAAACAAGGGATGGAGGAAGCATACGCCATTGCAAATGAAACTGCTCAGAAAAATGCTGAAAGAAGTAAGAAGTATTATGACACCAAAGTTAGGAGTGCAGTGCTACAGCCTGGCGAGCGAGTTCTGGTTAAAAACCTGACACCAAGAGGAGGACCAGGTAAACTCCGTAACTATTGGGAAGATACAATTCACACAGTAGTGAGACAAATGGGTTAAGACCTGCCGATTTATGAAGTGAGACCAGAAAAGGGTAGGGGCCGCTCCAGAGTCCTGCACAGAAATCTGCTCATGTCCTGTGACCACTTACCTTTTGAGACACAACCAGAAATGACTAACGAGGACAAAAGTAAGAAAAAAAGGAGACATCAGCCTGCATCACAGTCTCTCGACTCTGATGAAGACAGCGGGGATGAATATGACCTTCATCATGAGCCGCTACAGGTCCCCACATACACTGAACCAGCGAGAGAGTCGGAACACAGGCCTCCACCACTGAAAGAGACAGTTGTAGTGCCAGTTCCTGATATGCTACCAGCACAGCTCTTTGTTGAGAAGCAGTTGGAGGGGACAACAACCGTTAAAGACCTACCTGCTGAAGAGATGAACTTGCCTGATGATCGTCCACCAAGGGCCTTTCCTTCATTAACTACTGTTGCTGAACCTGAGGACACTGCTGTTGCTGAACCTGAGGACCCAGCCTATCAGCGGCCACAAAGAGAAAGACACCCTCCAAGACGTATCACCTATGATCAGCTTGGTAGGCCTTCCTTGTACAGTATCCAGCCACAACTGCAATTGTTCTCTGTCTACCCTGCACCAGGACTGGTTCCGTGGTTGCCATCACCACACCAATATTACCTTCAGCCACCCTGCATGTATGGACTTCAGCAATCATAATGCTAGGGATGACAGGTTTGACTTAATTCACAGACTGTTGCTCAAGTACGGACTCACAGAAGATGATTTTCTAGGTCCAGTGCATAAGAGCAGGCACGGCGTTATGGGTGGGCCTGACGGGCCTAGGCCCACCCACTTTTCAACAGGCCCACCCAAAACTTTTCTTCAATTTTTTTTGTCAAGAATTATAAAAAAATCGCCAATAAAGCTCATAATTTGTGCTAAAATAGTCTAAATGTTTAGTTTTAAAAACAATTTTAAGCTGGTTATTTCTTGATGTTTCTGCGCAAGTTCAGCAGACGGTGTTCGGGTTTTCTTCCGATCAGAGGATGTGAGCGGAGAGCGCATTTCTGAATATTCCGCTCTGTTCGCTCATTCTGCAGGCTCGCGCGCTCAACCCAGAATGGCCTGCTGGTTCGAACTTCGAAGATATGTGGAATAAGGCCTTAGGCTACTTAAATAGGGCAGGCTATAGCCTAGTATGGAAGCTTGTTTCCGCCATAGAATAAAACATTTTAAAAGATAGGCTAATTGCGACTTTATTTCACACAATTGCGACTTTAGTTCACGAAATTCTGATTTTATATCTCGCAATTCTGAGAAAAAAAGTCAGAATTGCAAGATATAAAATCAGAATTTCGTGAACTAAAGTCGCAATTGTGTGAAATAAAGCCGCAATTGCATGTTATAAAGTCAGAATTGACGGTGTTCGGGTTTTCTTCCGATCAGAGGATGTGAGCGGAGAGCGCATTTCTGAATATTCCGCTCTGTTCGCTCAAAAGAGGAGAACATCTCAAAAGTCTTGTAGAAGTGATGGACATATGCAATGGGGACGTTTTCCCGAATATCCATGCTTTCTTAAAAGCTCTGATAACACTGCCAATGACATCTTGTACAGTTGAACGCGTCTTTTCCAGTGTCAACCGGATTAAAACACCAAATAGGAGCACCATGCTTACCTCTCGCCTTATGTCCCTCTGTCTGTTGACCTTTGAGAGAGAGCTTACAGTAACTCTCGACTTCGATGAAATCATTGACATTTTCAAGAGCAAACCCCGCCGACTACTCCTGTAATTTCGGAAAGATAGGTAGGCCTAGTGTAACGCAAAGTTGAGGCTCAGAGGTGTCGGAGGGAAAGATGCACGAAAGACGAGAGCGTAGCCTATTTTCCCCGTGTTTAGTAAAATTACTCAAACGTCACACTCGTCCATTTCACAAACCATACCCCTCAATTTCAAGGTTCTCGAGCAAAACCTTGCACCACCAACTCCTCAGATATGGCATGTCAGACTGAAGATAAGAAAGAACAGTTGTAATGTGATTCACCACAATTAACATTAAACATCTTTGTCAACACCAAGACTGCACTTACGGTGGTGAAATCAAAGGCTGCCTCCACAGTTATGTACCAGGTATACTGTAAAGGCAGAAAGGCTATTATGTTGTCATGTCATTTGTATGAGCATAAATTTACCAAGATGAATAAACATGGACAATGGATGTTGTGTGGACATCACTAAACATCCTAAAAATGAGCATGGCAACCCACCATAACCATAAATAATCCACAGTCAATCCCATAATGTTGTAGGGGTAGCCCCTGTTTGAAGAAAGAAAGAACACCCATTATGAAGAATTTACAATGACTATCAACCTTATACAATGTTCTTGTGCATTTTCATTGCAAATGATTATTACCTCAACATCCAGGCCTGACTGTTCTTCCCATGGCCCAGGCATGAGCTTTTGTGCAACAGCCCTGATAAAAATCAAGACAGTGTTACGAAGGATACTTACAATTCAGCTGGGGAACACAAACCGTTTAAAAAATTCAGAGTACAATTCAGAAATTGGTTGAACATGAAATGCCAACAATGCTTACATCCTCTGAACGTGAGGTACTTTAACTATGAAGTTTATCCAAGCAGCCTTGACAAGTCAAAGGAACGCGACTGCCGAGAGTAGATGTATATAAACGTGGGCAAGTCAGAAGAACACGACTGCCAAAAGTAATTGCAATAACACTAGAAGTGCCATGACAGTCATTTTGACCGTTTGGAATTTTATATCTGCAATTATTTTGATCTTTGAAAGATCTAAGATCTAACTTTGAAAGTCAACTATCTGCTGACTTTTTAAATGAATATACAGACACTTTTAGGAAATGTTTTTCATATAAATTACACATAAGGCAAAAAAAAAATTAACATATACCTATTTCGGCCATAGACGGTCATATTGACCACACTGAATTTCGCGGTATTCATTTGTTACATTTCCCGCAAATTATTTTCTATTAGCCTATTTTCTTTATTATATTAAAATAAAATGTTTTATAATTAAGATACTTTTAGTTCTTAAATGTACAGTTTGGTGTTGTTTTTAAAAGATATACTAATACAATAAATGGTAAAAATGACCGCTTGTGGCAGGTCTAGTAGTTATGGAATTCTGTCACTTCTAGTGTTAATGTGGGCAAGTCAGGGGAACGTGACTGCCGAAATATATCATTGTGTAACCTCAATATATCTCTGTAGGCCTTGTTTCCAAAGCCTTGTTCCCACTGTGCAAACAGCGAATCAAGGAACAGTATTCCTCTTTTGCCTGGCATCATCACCTGAGAATAGTCTTGGCAATGAGTTTAAACTTTCATGTGTAATATTCCAATAAGCTTTGTAAAAATGAATCTTCAGATGCTTCTTTTCCACATCAACAGTATAGCTTGAGAAACTTTTTTTGAAAGCATGCATTACTTACACATAGCAAAAAATGGCCTTGTGTCCACAGCGGGAATATAAGTGCATCTTTCTCGGCGGAGTCGACCTTAAAAGAAAGCAAGATATGCTGTTAATTCAAATCAGTTTAATTATTGCTGTCAACCCTCTACAATGCGAGCAAATCACTCGCATATGCAAGTAAATATCACTCTGGGCGACTATTCAAAAATGAAAAATACTAGCCAATGGCGATTCTATTGCCAAGGTGTGCGTAGAGAGTTGGCTGTACAAATGGGTAGGTACTTACAGGAAGACTGCCTAGAGGGTCACAACTCAAGGGTGGGAGCCATGTTGGGGGGATGTGGAGGTCCATAATAAAGACCTTTTTCCCCTAAAGAAAGACAGCTGACTTTGTTGTACTGCACAGAGCTCACATAGGTCCCTCTAAAATATACGTTAATACATGTGTATACATACCTGTAACTCAACCATCTCCTTAACAAGCCTCAGACAAGCATTTCCCACCTGTTCACATGATTTAATGGTTTTTTTTAACTGTATTTACAATTAAAAAATATTGAGTACTTTAACATTCCAACAAAGTCTTTCACCCACCATTGAGTCCATTTCCCTGTTTAGACCTAAAGATAACAGGTTCTCTCTTGTCAAACATGTAGGGCCATCCTTAATCATAATCTCATTGGCAGGCCTACCCTCATCCAGAACATAGCTGACCTACAAGAAAGACAAATTATTAGTAGCATTAAATAATAATAATAATATCAACAAAATCCTTTAATTACTTCAATGAAAGAAGAAGAAATTAAATTCTGTCAAATAAGCTATGCATTTATGTACCAGCTGTTCCTGGAGGGGATGATCTCCTCCAGCTGACCACATTGTTCTACAGGGCCTGAGGTTACTGATGGCAGTAAGTGTTGCACAATGCTGCCCACAATGGTGCGAAGGGCCAACATCTACAAGAAAAATGAAACAGTTACTCTTATTACCGCTAATATACATTAATCTCACTGCATTTGATCTGAAAGTAGCATTCACCTATCCCCAACATTAAACCCCTCCCAGTTAGTAGTAGGCATTAGTTATTTCAACTCATATTCATAGTGCTCACTTTGTGTTTGTGCTTCATCAGTGGGTGGTTGTGCAGCTATGCTTTCAGTGTACCTTGGCTCGGCTGGAGTGAGTTGAGATCCTTAAAGTACAACAATATTTGATGTTATGAACCAATTAAATGACTAGAATATGCATTTCAGTGAAGTTTTTAACTTTTAGACAAAACAAACAATTACGTCACATGGGTCAAGATTAATTACATGACTGACTTTGTATGATCATTGATGTTAAAGCAATTTACTTGTTGCTGAAGATGGCTGAGCCACCACAGTTGTGCTTCGTCGTTTTGATGCAGCATCACCTATGACAGCTTGTCCCAAAGTAGACAAGGTGATGGTGTTTAGAAGTTCAAGCCGACATCCAGAGTTTAACTGCCTCTCCAGAAGTGCTCTATTTGTGGAGGTGTTATGACGATGGATAACACTTCTCATAAGAAATGCATGGGTTGATGGAGTCATGTTATTGAAGAAGTAGTTGCTTTTACGCATTTTGGCAAAGAACTGCTCAGCAACTTGGCTATTCAACCACCCTTTCAGCTCAGGGACAAGTTGGATCCTGCGTAGTATGTCCTTTGGATCTGTGGCATTCTGCTCATGGAAGCGGTCATATAAGACATAGTGCTCAGATGATCCAGTGACCGGATGAGCATTATCCTCCCCACAGTGCACACTTTCATGTAGCCATTGCAGTGATACCAGCAATTTTCCATCCCTGGCTGCCTTCACATTCTCTTCTGTGGGATCAGACAGTCTGCCCTCAAAAGGCTGGAAAGGCAGTGAATGAGGAACCCGCAAATTGGTGTGTGTCGCCAAACCTCTTGCGAAATCATAAACACAGACATTTGGAAAGTGCTTCCAGGAGAGTAACAGGTCTGCAAAGTCCCTGGGACTTTCAGCACGTAGATTAAATTTGATGCTGTATACAATGCCATGTGGGCAAAGTATTACAGACCATCCACCTGAAATTAAAGATTTAAAAGATTGTAAAGTGTGTAATTTACAACAACTTAATACCATAGTTTCCAGAGCGACACAAACTTACCAGATGCACCCCATATGCTTTGGAAGACCTTGTCATATGTTTGTCTGCTCTTCATGTTCTCCTTCAGTCTTGTTATGAGATCAAGGCGGGAGCCCTTGGTGTCGATGTTGCAGGCTTTGCACAATTTTCTCACAACTCCAACCTGATAATACAGGTGAAACTTGAAAAATTAGAATATCATGGAAAAGTTATAATTTTGATGATTATGGCTTACGGCTTATGAAAACCCCAAATTCAAAATCTCAGAAAATTTGAATATTACATGAAATCAATAAAAAACCTTTTAATTTGAATTACTAAAATACATGAACTTTTGCGCGATATTCTAATTTTTCGAGTTTCACCTGTACTTATGACAAACTGTAAAAAGAACATTTACTGGACACTTTCTTACCCCTCAAACCCAGAGAGCTTCATCACATGGCAACATCACCTTTTGTTTGGCCAACTCATCAATCAGATGGTCCTCAGTAACACTGCTCAGCTGTGCTTCAGTTGAAGAGGGGCATGTTCTCACTTTTTTTAATTCTGTGTTAAGAACAGTGCCACTTCGACGTGTTTCACTCCCAATCCAAGGTGCCCAGTGTTCGTAGCTTGGAGTGACAGTGAAAGGGTTGTTTGCACTGCCTACAAAATGTGATGCATTATTTGTAATCCAAATTGTGTTTACAATAGAATCTGATGAAATGTAGTAATCACCACAACTCACTTTGGAAAAAACCACGACTTATCGTCGCAAGATGAACAGAATTCCAAAAACTCTCAATGTCATGTTCTCCGTTGAAGTCATCAGGGGGTGCTTTGAGGTCACTGACTGTAATGAATCACACCATTAGGCAAAAGCAACACTTCTGCACTGAAAACAAACACACAAAATAATCACAATGTCACTTACCTGCCAGCTTGAAAACCCCTTTCCTGTGTAAATCCATGACTACCACAGGTGGGTAAAATCCACAGTTGATACAGGAGTAAGTGTACTCTGTGTCGCACAAAGCCTCAAAGTGGCAATAGGCGTGAAATATGACATTCCTGGGTGGAAACTTCTCTCCTCTTAACCCCTCCAATGAATCCACAACTCTTGACACAGACACATGGTTCTAAAGTGTGGAGCAAACACAAATAAGTCTGAGATTAGACAGAGACATGTTCTTGTTGCTTAAGGATAGAAACTTAAAAATAAAAATAAATAAAAACGATGTAATGTTCCATATAGCCCATAGTCAAGTAATCTGAAGGAGAAAAGATTAATACTCACAGTAACATTTTCTCTGAGAAACAGACAAAGTTCAAGGGTGAGAAAAATATGGTTATCAAAGTTGTGAAGACCATCTTTCCACTCCTGGTACCTATACACCATGTTGCACTGAGGACATATCCTATGGTATGTTGAAATGTCTGTAAAACACAAATCACATTGATATCAACAGATCACAATACTAGCCATCACTGATCACAATTGCTCTTTACATTAGATATGCTTCTCGGACTTACTTTCTATCAAGCCCATCATGCTGACAATCCTAGCTTTTTTGGTAACGAGTACAGCCTCTGCAAGTGCAGGATGTCCAAGGCATAACTGGCACGCTGTCTCAAGAGGAAATAACTGCTTTGGGTATTCGATCTTCATTCTTGGTGTTGTAACTTCTTTTGGAAGTGCTTCTGGAATTTTTTTATCTTTGAAAATGTACTGCACACTTCTCTTTATACCAGTGGTGTCCAGGAGACTGCAACCCTCTGAGCTTGGTGTTGTGGGCACCTCTGACTTGAAGAGGTCTCTTTGGGTTTGAAAAAGATGCCACTTTGAGATGTATATGTGTGGACAAGATGTCCGTGGCTTTGTGCAGGGACAATGCCAGGTGTTCCTTTGAATGTTATAGGTGACATTATCCTTCCAAGTCGGCTAAAACTATGAATGTCTGGCTCATGGATCGACAGGCATATTTGTGATGGAGACCCACCAAAGTCCACAGGCACACAAAGAGGAACATGCGCTGCACAAGCAGCCTTTTGCCTCTTCACACATATAGCTGCTTTTGCCTCTCCAAAAAATTTTACTGCAATCATATCCCTTAGGACGTCTTCTCCGAGAAATGTCTCTGCAGCTATCTCACTACAGTAGTCTACAGAGCGAATGTGAGAGCACAAACTATAGCTTAATCCACTCCGCTGAGCCAACATCTGATACTGCACACATTCCTCTAGCTCACATCTAACTTGATGTATTGTTCCCCATGTTTTCCTCTGGACATGGACTGGCACAGAAAACCCATGTCCAGTTTTTTGCACGGAAAATATGCCATTTGTCTCATCGACAATAACACTCTGCAGATGACAGGCCTGAGTGATGTCATGAGACAAATCAGCATGTCTCCTCAAGAGGTGTGTGTTATAATTCTTCTTGAGGAGACTAAGATTGCAATGAGGACACCTGACAGACTTCCCATAAACCTCTGCTGCACCCTGCACCGGTTGCCGTGCATACAAGTGGTCTTGTGAAGGCTCGGCTGATGGAGTGGCGCGAGGCGGGTAAGGCTCGGCTGATGGAGTGGCACGAGGCGGGTAAGGCTCGGCTGATGGAGTGGCACGAGGCGGGTAAGGCTCGGCTGATGGAGTGGCGCGAGGCGGGTAAGGCTCGGCTGATGGAGTGGCACGAGGCGGGTAAGGCTCGGCTGATGGAGTGGCGCGAGGCGGGTAAGGCTCGGCTGATGGAGTGGCCCGAGGCGGGTAAGGCTCGGCTGATGGAGTGGCCCGAGGCGGGTAAGGCTCGGCTGATGGAGTGGCACAAGGCGGGTAAGGCTCGGCTGATGGAGTGGCACGAGGCGGGTAAGGCTCGGCTGATGGAGTGGCACGAGGCGGGTAAGGCTCGGCTGATGGAGTGGCACGAGGCGGGTAAGGCTCGGCTGATGGAGTGGCGCGAGGCGGGTAAGGCTCGGCTGATGGAGTGGCCCGAGGCGGGTAAGGCTCGGCTGATGGAGTGGCCCGAGGCGGGTAAGGCTCGGCTGATGGAGTGGCACAAGGCGGGTAAGGCTCGGCTGATGGAGTGGCACGAGGCGGGTAAGGCTCGGCTGATGGAGTGGCGCGAGGCGGGTAAGGCTCGGCTGATGGAGTGGCGCGAGGCGGGTAAGGCTCGGCTGATGGAGTGGCACGAGGCGGTTAAGGCTCGGCTGATGGAGTGGCACGAGGCGGGTAAGGCTCGGCTGATGGAGTGGCACGAGGCGGGTAAGGCTCGGCTGATGGAGTGGCACGAGGCGGGTAAGGCTCGGCTGATGGAGTGGCACGAGGCGGGTAAGGCTCGGCTGATGGAGTGGCACGAGGCGGGTAAGGCTCGGCTGATGGAGTGGCGCGAGGCGGGTAAGGCTCGGCTGATGGAGTGGCACGAGGCGGGTAAGGCTCGGCTGATGGAGTGGCACGAGGCGGGTAAGGCTCGGCTGATGGAGTGGCCCGAGGCGGGTAAGGCTCGGCTGATGGAGTGGCACGAGGCGGGTAAGGCTCGGCTGATGGAGTGGCACGAGGCGGGTAAGGCTCGGCTGATGGAGTGGCGCGAGGCGGGTAAGGCTCGGCTGATGGAGTGGCCCGAGGCGGGTAAGGCTCGGCTGATGGAGTGGCCCGAGGCGGGTAAGGCTCGGCTGATGGAGTGGCACAAGGCGGGTAAGGCTCGGCTGATGGAGTGGCACGAGGCGGGTAAGGCTCGGCTGATGGAGTGGCGCGAGGCGGGTAAGGCTCGGCTGATGGAGTGGCGCGAGGCGGGTAAGGCTCGGCTGATGGAGTGGCACGAGGCGGTTAAGGCTCGGCTGATGGAGTGGCACGAGGCGGGTAAGGCTCGGCTGATGGAGTGGCGCGAGGCGGGTAAGGCTGCATAGACTGTGAGGTCAGCTGATTATAACATAAGACCAAATGCCTTTCCATGTCCACTCTTCTTATAACTGTCCTTGAACAGTGGGGGCAGTGGTAATGCCCCACAGTACGGCATGGTAATCTGCATCTATTTAAAATTTGCCCTGAAACAAAAAGGTAAAACAACAAAATAATAGAACAAAAAAAAAAAAAAATAGGACAAATAGAAACGTGTAAAAAGCCTTCGACGTTTAGGGTGGCAACATACCTTCAAAATGTAAAGGTTGCTGCCAGAGCCGGATTATCCATAAGGGCACTTGGGCCAGTGCCCAGGGGCACCAACCATTCACAACCACTAGGGGGGCACCACATGAGTCAAGCTTTAAAAATATTTTTCGTAAATTGTTATATTATTAACTTGAAATTCTTGACAGACCATAAATAAATCGTTTATGAACACTAATTTAACAATAATAATAACAATAATGATTTAATAATAAATTATAAATAAATAAAGATTACATGACCACTATCACTCCCCCCTCCCCAATCTGTCAGAGTTGCGTTGGTCCACAACAAATACGTGCAAATGTGTCATTTTTTTAACGGCTACAAAAAAATGAATTAAAATCAAAACTGGACAGACGTCAATTGAGTGGTTTTGCAAAAAGAAAGTTAAAGAAAGACAAGGACGCTAGACGTAGCTACAATTCACAATGTTCCAGGTATCGAAAGATTTTTTGTGAGAACATCACGGGAATTGCTATCACTAGCAGCGCTGAGTCTGACGAAGCCGGAGCTAACTGTGGAGACGGTAACAAAGAAATGGACTTTGGGGATGTAGTTGACACCTTTGCTTGCGCAAAATCAAGGAAGGAGCAGTTCTGCTAAACTTAATACATGAAAACGTTTTACCAGATTTAGTGCTACACTTATTGTCTCTTATTTGTTCCTCACTAAATAAGGTTTTTTTTTCACTAAATGTTCGATTTTATACAATTATTGTGCACTTGTGATTTTTCTAGACTAAATTTTACTGCTGAGTTACCCACTAATCTAGTTTATATAATAGAATTTTTGTCATAGGTTATGATCATATTTTTTATTTATTTGTTGTTTTTCTTTATAATGAAGTTGTCTGTATTAAGTAGATTATGTTTAACAGAAAATAGTGATTATCAGTTCAACACACAGAGTTATAGAAATTCTACTTGATTTTTTTTTTTTTTAACTGCGCTGGTATCGGATCGGTATAATTCAATACTAAGAATTTTTGGTATCGGATTGGATCGGTTCAGAAGAAATGGTATCGGGACATCCCTAATATTTTCTGGTAGGCTCTAAGTTACCCAGGAGCTCTGTTGACATAGGCTTAGCTAACGTTAGCTACAGCTTGATGAATTGAGTTGAACACAGCAGGAGAGAACGCAACATTAGCCAGCTAGCTAAAGCTCTGGTGGGAAATTATTAGCTAACGCTACGGAGGCCATAATATTTTTGACTCATGGCTGAAGTTAAGTTTCTCCAACTCTCCCCAGGTTGGCAAAAAAAATGCATCTCAAAATGCATCAGATTGATGCTATAAAATATGGAATATTTAAAAATTTTCTTCCGGGGGGGCATGCCCCCGGACCCCCCTAGAGGGGTAATATCCTTCTCACCTTTTTCACCCCTGACCCCTTTTCATGCCTGTAGAGGTAAGAAACCTGATAGATTTATTATTATTTTTGGGCAAACGTGAATTGACGCTGTCAATTAATTTATGTACATTTTTAATTGACACATTTGAATATAGGGGGCCTTTTGAGGTATAGTGCCCAGGGGCACCACACTGTCTTAATACGGCCCTGGTTGCTGCATCCTTCAAGCTAATGAAAGTCGCCTAGCTCTGAAAGTGAGTGAGAAAACGAGAATGAAAACAGTCGGGGAAGTACCTGTGGGAGAAAAAAAAAACGTTTTAACTGAAAATGCATAACGTTAAATTCTCTTCACATTTACACTTCTCAATACAATCAAACAATCACCAATAAACAGAATAAAACAATAAATACAAACGTACCTGCCACACACCAACACTAAAATGTTATCTATGTGGTCTCGGGCCATTAAATAATGCTCAAAATAGAGATTTGCGTTCGTGCTTCTCTTAACTAAAAAAATGTCAAACATTTAAATTAACAAGCAATCAATATAATACTCACATCTGCACACTCTACAAACATTATATTTAAAAAAATCATTAGAATTAATACCTGAATAGAAGGGGAGAAAATCGCTGATGTTTCCCCACAGCGAAGTATGGAATGTAAAAACCCCGCGAATTTACTCCGCCCCGCCCCCGCGAAGTGGAGGTGACGTATTTCCTGTTTGAGAGTGGAGCTCCAATCGCCCACAGTCTGCAGCCAGACCCTTCTCGGAAATCGCGGTCTTTTCCTCATAACACTAGTTTTCAGTGAGGAAACCTGACTCTATCACTCTCGTGATTATTTCTCCCCTTTTTCAGGTGCGTTGTTGATCATTACATTTACTCAACTCAGTTTAAGCTTGTTTAAGATTTAACATGTTAAGAGTGTTGAAGGTGTGTTTTAGTAACATTTTGAGTACGTTAAGTGAGAGAGTTAAGTTTGCCGGGTTTAAAATGTGCGTGTGTAAGCGAAGCCTCGCTCGGTTACAGATAAAAATAGCTTCGTAATGAGAGCAGCCGCCATTTTATGTCAATTGTGAAGTAACAGATACCTATATAATATCTATTTTGCTGTGTTATTTGTATAATGTGTTTCAATCACTTTATCGATATTTTTGGTAAATGTAGTAATGTTTATTGAGCTAAAACTACTTTTTGCTTGATTGACAGCTGTTATATTGGAAAAATGAGTTTATGTTCCAGTGAATTACAGAGTATGCTGTTGTGACTTGAATAAGCCCTATAAAGCTACTATTTTCTGTAGATCTGTAAAATGTATTATTGTTGAAATGATAACACTAAAGTTTTCAGTGAGGAAACCTGACTCTATCACTCTCGTGATTATTTCTCCCCTTTTTCAGGGGTGTAACACAAACACTGCTATGAGTCGTTTGGAAGTGCTTCTTGTGACACCGATAATGCAGCTGTCGTCCTTGATGCGAATTTCTCCGTCACAATATCTCACAGTTAATTAATGCACTAAACGGATGACGCAACCCAACGGCAGAATGGGTTGAAATTATAATACAGTAAAATAAAAATAACACTTTTAAACAAACAAAATCGAGTGGATGAAAGTTCTATTTGTCACTTTGGGCCTGTACTAACACAAATAGCGAAGTCTCCAAGAGTGACGCTCACTTTCATTAAACCGAGGACATGTGCTGCACTCTTTTCGCCATGTGCGATCTCCTTCCCTGTCGTTTCTATCACGTAACTTAAAGGTGCTCTAAGGGATGTCACGCGTTTTTTAGGCCAAAACATTTTTTGTCACATACAGCAGACATCTCCTCACTATCCACTGGCTGCCTGTCCCCTGAACACACTGTATAGAAACGCGATCTCTGTAGACAGCCCAGGCTCCACAAACAGCAACAAAAACAAACTGTGGCGACCCGGGGCCTGTACCATGAAGGTAGCTGAACAAACTCGGAGTTACAGGATTAGTTTTGAGTTGACAAAACCAAACCGATGCAATCAGGCTTTATTGGTACCATGACGCAGCTCATCAACTTTCTCTGTCAACT